GTTTTGATGATCGTGGATGTTTTTGGTAGAAATATTATAAGGTCTATGTAATACAGGTATGTATATTTTTTCTGAAACATGATTAATAAGATAATATATAAAAAAAATATATATATTATAAAACTTATAGCAGCTATTTAAATTGGAAAAATTACTAAATATCTTTGTAATAAATTGGATAAAAAAATAATATATAAATTTATTATATTTAAATGTAGGCATAATAAATTTATATAATTTATAATATTGATAGCCGCAAATAGATTATATTTTAATCATTTTGATTTTTTTCCCTTGGTTTTTTTTTTCGTTTACCAGTATTTATAACCAATGGTAAGTATGCACTTCTATAATATACCAGTGGTGGATTTGAGGGGGGTGACGTGGCAATTACCCCTCCCTAGGGAATTTTTTTACTTAAACTATGGCGCCGCGCGCCGTATGATAAAATGAACATGCAATTCATAAGTCATAGCTATAACATTAAACTTATAAATAAATGATACAAAAAAGGTATTTTTTTTAATATGATAATGGGAAATATGTATTCAGTTACGTCTTTGTTATTACCTATCAATCTATGGTACCAATTCGCCCCCTCCTCAAATGATCTTCGGATCCGTTACTGTAATATACTCCATCCCTTCTTTTTTCCTGTTCAAAAACCAAGAACGGGTTGGAACTGTATTAACCCTTTTTATTTTTTATTATATAATAATATATATATTATTATATAACCCACTGCCTGGATCCATCCCTGGTGTTTATGTTACAGTTTATATTTTATACGATAAGGTTGTATTTGAATGATTAAAAAAATCTCATATTAAAATATTGCTTTTACCTAAGACAGCATTTCCGTTGTGAACATTTTTGATGCCCATTTGAATATCTTTAACACTAAAGTCCATTTTCAAATCTTCTAACTGCAAGAATTTTTGAGAGTTACGTTCCACTTCACTGGCCTTGATGTAGACTTTGGCTTTAACACCCTCTGTAAACAATAGAAGGTTATGGTAAGCATGTTTGAAAGTGAGTATTTAGGTTCTCGCAGTGTGTTCCTTACCGTATTCACCCCAATATTCACCACCGCCAGTAGCTTGAACCATAATAAGAACTCCTGAGCTTCTATAATGTGCAATAGCTGAAATTTTTGGGATCGAGAACGTAAATTGGAACTGCAGTGAATTTAGGTCAGATCTATAAAACATTATATAATTATTACTCTCTAAATTTGTTAAATTTATTAATAAATTGTTATTATTATAACTAGCTAAATATTATAACAAAATAAAAACAAAAAATATCTTTAATAGGTTGTACCTATAATAAACTAGAATATTACAATGAGTATTTAAAAAAATTGAATTTGTATTATTTATTTCTAAGTATAAAGCAATCATTTAAACTAATAATGAATAACTGTATTCAAAAGTAACAGAATGACCGTAACTGCCTGAATGCCCTTTCTGAAAATTCAAATTTTTTTTATTTAATACATAAATATATTAATCGGTATGAAAATAATATTTTAGGTCTAGAAATAGCATAATACAATATCGTGTATTGGTGTATTATTCTTAATTATACAGGATGAGACAAGAAAAAAAAATTATGCTAATTAAAAGTATGACAAAAATTGTTAATATTTTGTGATAATTAAATAATTTAGGAAATATGCTCAAGTCAGCAAATTCTCAAAAATCATATTTTTTAAAAAGTTACTACGTTACAAATTACTTTAACCAAAAAAATATTGAATTAAAAAAAAAAATTAAAAATAAACTGCTTGATTTAGATAAATCATTTTACCATAAAAATTGTTCTTATAATCAGATTCACAAATATAGGCTATTTTGAATTTATCCAAAAAAATGTTTACTAAATTTAATTTTTTTATTTTTAGTACTAAAATATAAACACAGAAAAAAATGTATTATACATGTAGCGCTAGGGTCACTTGACGAAAAAAAAAATAATAAAAAATATTAATTTGAACTAAAGTCAGTTCTATCTGTTACACTTTGTATACTGAATTCACTTTATTTATTAAGCGTTGATAATTATGGTAATTTTTAAACGATGTTATGAAATGTATAGTCAATAGTTTCTAAGAAAATATTTTGCACACAAAGTCAATGTACATATAGGTATACTGATGTCTATTGCGACTAGCCTCTCGTTTTCGTTTTGCAAAACATTTCGTGCCAAATGTGCAATAAAATCAATAATATACAAGAACGATAAGAATACTGTCGGACAGTAAAATATTAATAACAACTCGTACTATTTTTTGTCTTAGTGAAATGAGCATTATGAAATTGAGTTCGTGTTACGATTTAAGTATTTCAACTATACACGCAAAAATATTTGCCATAATTATCTGCGCAAACCAATTAAACATGACATTAAATGGAATATTATGGTCATTATACTATATTTTCTCTACTCCGATTAATATCATAACTTCGATTCCCAGACAGTTACAACGTAACTGGACGTAATAAATTATGGATACATGCAAATAATAAATTATTATAACCATTCATGGGCGTAGCATAGGTACTATAGTATGCACCGGGTCATGGTGGCAACAGCCCCCACAGAAACTTTTGTAGCCCCCTCACGGTGTTTACTTTCATTTAAAACATTGTGTCCAAAATTATAGTTTAAAATGTTTTTATAATTTTCGCTGAAATTCATCAATGCTTTATATATTAGCAGCGTAATGTTTATTGACAAATTATTATTTTACTTACAACATACGCCTATTTATTTTTCATTTTTATCATTTACATTGGTTATTTATARATCAACAATATGAATAGTTATATCGTTTATGAATTTTAAAATAAAATTTCAGGTAAAGAACAAGCCAAGTATATATTGTTTATTTTTTTTCGAAAATGTTCTCTTTTCCTTTATTTCAGGTTAAACATCATGAGTTTTTGGAATATACATTTTTTTATAGTCTTATATATGGCAAACAGATAATTATACCAGAATACGCCCATGTAACCGTGAAAGTCGAATCTTGCGAATTAAATATCCCATCCGGTCGTTACGGATATTCCGATGTATTATATTATTACCTTTATTAGTATTATAATAGCTCCGGTTGTCTGCGTATTAGTACGCTAAAGCCGTCGAATGTATAGTTTTTATTGTTTTTTTGAACATTCATGAATTCATGAATTATCGTGTAGCGTAACAATTATTATACAACAACAACGTTATTATTTATACCAACGACCAACGAAACATGATGTGTACCTACGTCTATATAGTTTCGATGGCCACGGGACGGGGTCAGTCGGTAGTTGTATATAGTAATAATTATTAATAATGGCTTTCAGCGGGTGTACCTGACTTGGTTGACGGTCAGATTGCTGACGCCATACGCTTGGATGTCTTTGAACGTGGCCCTGTATCCGTCCGGGCCGGAGCCCAGCGACAAATTGATTTCGTCGATCACGATGGGTTCCACCTCTTCGATGCCCAGCTCGGGAATTCCTGCGGACCAAACGAGACGTAACGCGTAAGTATGCATACGCATCACACATACAAAACAGTTTATAGGAATCGGGACCTCTGACCTAGTGCCTGTAGATACTTATAACAGGTTGCCCTTATGTACATAGAAAATGGCGTTCGCCTAACCATAGCGTCGTATATAAAATACCTAAAATGTTGAACGGTATAACTCGATCGGTATGCAAGGGTGTGCCTATATACTCGTCATTTGTTCTTACGTGAGCGGAATTCAAAGAGTGAAAAGAACCATCGCCACGTGCGCTGAATTATGATGTAGTGCACGGACTTTTGTCCGCCGTACGGACGTTTTCCTCAGTTCGGTATTCGTTTCACCCACATGACATTAAATTATTATTATTTAATTATACGTATGTTTTAGTTGGGAGCCGCCGCCGAACGAGTTAGTTCCTCCACGTGTTAGAGTATAATGTATAATAATATACTTAATGGTAATGCGGTATGATGAATGGTAGATGGCTGAAGGTTAAGAATTTAAGATCATAATTCACCGTACACACAGGCGCGTGTAACCCGTTGAGGCCTAATAAAATGTTTGTACAGACATTAAATGTATAATCTCCGGCATACATCGATACGGACGATCGGAATTATAAAAAAACGAAATACGCGATGATAAATAAAATATATTTCGGAGATTTTCTTCGCGTTCGGATCCGTGTCGGCACGAGTTTCACTTCCCGCATCATATAATCACGGCCAGCACCTAACAATTTGTCGGGTTTTGAGAAAGTCATCACGGGCCACTTTTACATTTTTAAACACTTAAATACGCATTATACGCCCTCGTTATAAATAGGTATATAAATCGGCGAAACCTATAATTGCGCTACTAACGACGCTTTGACCAAAACACAAAACTCATCGTCGCCTCGAGATTCTAAACTGGCTGTGATGTTGAGGACATGGCCTGTTCACCCAGCTGAAGTATACCTAGGTACTATTGCTGATTAACTCTTGCAAAAACTCACCTTTCCGGAAGTGCATAGCCAAATGGTTGGCTGAATAAGTTAAACATTCATTTACGTTGGGGGCAGACTTTTGGCATGGATGAATGTAATAAGCTGCAACATAAACCAAGAAAATCCATTAATTATTTAATAATTATTAAAATATTAATAACCGTCAAATATCAGTCATTCGTTTTACAATATTATGATTTGGTGTTGCATAAAAACCCACGATGGTGTTTTAACCATTGTGATTAAAATTTATTTAACAGAAAGGATAATATTAAAAAAATATCTTTTTCCACTTCAATTAAATAAATCTATGCAAGTAGTTAACAACAAGTTATCAGCAATCATTGATCACAGTCCACGAAACATTCGAATGAACCAATTAAAATCGGTACAAAAATACTCGGAAAAAATCTTACCTAAGTCATGTTCCTGTTGTCGGGCTTCTGAAAGTCCAAAGCCAAGTATCGCGGCCAATGCCAAGTGCAGAGTGATATGCATTTCTGAAAGGAAACAAAAAACAAAGTTTATAAATCCCATTTGACAACTTTATTTCAAAAAGCACTCCACATTTCTATAACAGAAAGTCTTGTAAATATAGTTCTGTTTTTATTAAAAATACATTTAACGATACTGCAATTAAAGTATTTATAATATGATTTATATATCAATATCTCTGAATAGAAAATATGTTTAGTGTAAGTAATATTCAATATAATTTGGATTTCTAAATTTCTACTATGAAATGGTTTTTATCTATAGGTATCTATGTTTAAACATTTTATGTGTCATATATGTAACCAAGTAATAATTGTAAATAAATATCTCATTTAAATTGTATAACATATAAGTATTGTAATTATGGTTTTAAATTTTGATTTGTATAGTAAAAAAATATAAACTATGATTTATGAATTTATGATGATTATATATTTTTTTTTTCATATAGGTATGTTTAACGACTTAAATTTGAATTTGTAAACCATACTTGACATACACATTTGTTGAAAGTCTGTTATAGAAATAATTTTTCATATTGGGACATTGTATAATATAATGTCCAACGCAATTGTTTTGCACCTGCGTAGCTTGCTTTATTTGAGAGTGTGATAGTTCATCAGTCATCACCGACCTGTTTACGATGCTGTAGACGACCCGGTGACCGTTTAAGGTCATGCGCATATAACCCGACTTGGTTCAATGCCATTGTGTCGTGAGATTTCAAAAGTATACGTTAGTAAATAAACGAATATGAAAATTTTGTGTTTGAAGTAACATGGACAAAATCTTAAAAACTCGAAGTTGTAAGAATATCATAATGGTGTAGGTACAAAATACAAAACTTGTACATAAAACTCGAAATTTTAAGTTAGAGGACAAATAATTTTCGTGACAACCTTGATTTTATAAGTCACACCGATCATTCTAATTAATATTGTTTAAATATTTATAAAGATATAACATCATACATAATTTATATTATATTATAAGTTATGTCAATATTTCATACATATTAAGTGTTGATTTTGAAAATTTAGCGATCTTCAAAATACTTTTTAAAAAGGTATGTACAGACTAATTGTAGTATTCCCTTAGCTTTTACGTTGTTTGTAGTTAAAAAATGTTCAGGGGAGGTTGTTCTGATTTCTTAAAAATATATATAAATAGGGTGGTAATAAATTAATGATAATTTATTATTATTAATATAGAGTAACAACTTCAGTAATCCTGTTGTTTTTTTATATTATGCACGTATTGTTTTAATATATTATATAATGAATAATATAAACATGTATTTAAATAATACTACTAAATATAGGTAAATACTCGAATAATATTAAAAACTTGAAGAAAAAATAATATTATCTCAGTTATTCGTGCCAGAAAAGTAGAATCTAACAACTTAAAACTTGTTTTACAATTAATAAAAAATGTAATTATATTGTGTAATTTAAAATCAAGAAATTTTTTTACTGCATTAAGTACCTACTATTCTATTAATTTTTAATATATTATCTATAACCAAATATAAAATAACATGTAAACACAATCCAACGATAATGGTAATTGCCAACGGAGTTGTAAAAAAAACCAATAAAAAAAATTAATTATTGGTAACCTAATGTTTATAGTGTCCAAGTAACCAACTATAAAATATAATAATTATTGTTTTATAATTACAAGTAAATTTCTTCGCTGGGATCAAGAAGTTTAACCTGTAATTGTATTCGATTAAAATATAACATAAAAACCGTTTGTTTTCCTTATTGTGTAGGTGCATTTATTACATACTTTTTAGATAATTTATTTGTTTAGATGTTTAAAATAACAATGAGTTGCTTTATGAAATTTAAATATGCCAAGATGGCTCCACAAGAGCCATATCCCGAATTTTTTTTTCAAAATAAACGAATTCGCTCTTAGGTATTTTCCAAAAAATCTATCAACTGACAGGCAACAGCACGGTAAAAAATCCACATAATATTATATAGAACATCCAACACTGCACAACAAAATACGACGGAACAAATTGTTTTTGATCACACGACTGAGCTAAATGTTGATCTTTTTTATTTCAACTAAAATTTGTTTATTAATATCGAATCAAATTAAAATGTCAAATAAGTGATACACATACATTGGATTTCAAAATAGAAAATATTATTATTATCTACTTATCATAATTCATAATATCATGAAGTTATTGCCTCCATCGGGCATCGTTGTACAAAGTGGGTACCTATAATTTGCCGTTAGGTATTGTTACTTTAATATTTGCACGAAAACAAATGAATCATTTATTATAATTTGCTATTATCTAATGGCAATAGTTACTTTTCGGGTAAGTCACTGTCGACGAGGTAAAAAGACTGCAAAAGAATAATTTTTGCTCGGTTTCTCATGTAGATATCTACACTGACTCTAATATCGTATCGTTTAATATTGTCTATCAACTGCCAGCGTAGAATAAAAAACAATAATAAATCTTTCGGAAAACACGAGGTATAATTTGTAAATAAATTGTTGTCAATAGCCCATTAAATACCAAGAGCTCACAAAAAAACTATTTTAGTATGGAGTTAGGTGGATTTTAGAAGAGATACTTTAGTAATTTAAATCGAATGAGCGTAAACATTATCAAATCCTCGTTTTATATATATATGTATATGTGTGTGTGTATAGCTGGTACATAGTACGCCACATCGTCGGCCGACTTACCTGTTGATCCTCGGACTTCAAGTGTGTTGTAGCAAGTGTCCTGTCCCGCACTCGTAAATGACCAGTCGCCGGAGGATGTTATATAGATTGGTCGGTGTGCGTGTGTCCGTCGCGTTTGGACTTGACTGCAACTCGGCGGTGGCCCGTCAAGTCTTTTAATAACTCGACGAGCTCTCTGCGGCTCGTGTGGGGGAGATCCGTAGGTCCGAAGACCGGTTAGCTGCTACTGCTCCTCCACGCCCCCACCGCGCCGACATTCCAGCGCATGTGACGCATGTCCGGTGGACGGACGGTGTCGCGATGTCGAACGCTTCTTGGAGACGTGCAGCGTGAGGAAAAACTATTGTGTTTCAAATGATTTTTTTTTTGCATTGTTTTTGGCCATCACCGGATTCATGGCACATATATGTATTAAAATTATCATCGTCGCGCAGCTGTCGCAATACCGGAAATCTAATAATAAATTCCGATAATAAGGTGTTATACCTATATTATAGACACTAGACAGCCTGTCTAAGACAGGTACAGGTAAGTGTTATAATTGTGAACGTTATCAGTCTCGAGATTTGTGTCGTCGGAGTCCGTTATCAGATCAAGTCATCCGGAGAGAAGTTTTGAGGGGAGTGGAAACACCTAATCGAAATAATTAATAATTATAACAATTTTGTATTTGATTTTTGCATAAGAGGACGCTACACCAGCCTGTTGTGTCTTACAAGTGCGTAACATAACAAATTTTAYACTCAGCAGATATAACTCGTTTTAAATTTAACAAATAATAAACACTAAAAAGCCTATGATGATCTCTAGATCAGATAATAATGTTACCTTTAATTTTTATAAGGGGTCAATTCACTCTAAATTTTAAACTAACCGAGTTAAACTTGATGTTCTTCTGAGCGTAAAATTATGTTACGCACTTGAAAGACGGAGACATGCGGTTGTAGCGTCTTCATAATATTGAAATAATAGAATTTCCATAATTTATGACCACATCAATTAATCAATAACAAAGAAACAAAAACATTAAAAACTTATAAAGAAAGCATAAAATATTCGTTTATACGTATTATAATATAATTGTACGTTTCACAATACCTCGTCTTACTGCGTAGAACATCGCTTACGCGTTTCGTTATGGTGGAAGAATAATCATTGCATTTTAAATTAAAAAAGGCGGGTAAGTCGTGGATGTCGCTCTGCTGTACAGTAGGTTACAAGTGGGTTACTGTAATGGATGGAGTTAAATTTGAATCCAATGATATTATATCATTGTATACGAAAAACGATTCTGAGCGAAGACGGTTTATCTGTCCAGGATATATCATAGATTATTAAAAATATTCAATTTATAGAATTATAGGATATACTTATATAAACATTCGGTGAAAATTGCATGTATCCATTTGTAGCCATTTGTTTCAAAGTTACATCAAAAACCAAAATCGATTTTGTCGAAAAATGAGTGTGTGTCAAATGTCCCGTTTTTCTCTTAATTTTTAGTTTGTTTTTCTCGATTATTTAGAAAAGTATTAAGAATTTTTTACTTTTGACCACCAAAGTACCAACTAGATTCACTTTCTGAT